ACATCTTTTGTTATTATTTCGCTAAACATATTATTATTATTATGGATATGTACACTACATAGAACGAAATATTTTTAAAAAAATTATACTGCCGTATTTTTTTTGAGAGGTATCTTAGGATACCCCGGGATCTATTATGGATCCGCCCATGCATTAAAACATCAAATCCAGTAACCACAAAATAAATCAAATCCAGTAACTACAAAATAAATCAAGTGGAAGAATAGAAAAACTATATATTACTTCTTTCAATTAGAAAATAGTTATATCATTGAGTTATCTAGTCTTAAATACCATATATTATTGACAGCGAATAATGGGTTTTAATAACAAGTTTGCTATGTACTTTTGTTATATTAGGTGTTATAAGAATCATATATAATCTTTTATCAAATTCTTGTTTATTTAGGTTATTACAACAGGAAAAATTCTTTATCTTATACTGAAATTATCCTTGAAGAAAACATACAGAGTGAACTTGTATGTAAATATAATTGAGGAGTATAATAAAACCAAAGGGCCCCAAAATTTTGGTTTGCTTAGAGTCTCCAAACTGGTTGAGCCACCCTTGACGAACAGTGTAAGAAAAGGATCTGTGTAAGTAACAGTTGAAGAAAATGATATAGGTGAAAAGGTAGCAAACGAAAGAAGACGAAAGGGACAATTCATGGGTTTTAATGATTCCGTCTCTTTTAATTACAACCACATGGCAATGACCTGGCATTTTTAATCCACATGGAAACTATGTGGCATTGACAATGATCCTATTAGGATGTGTGTCACCGGGGTGACCCTTTCAAATTTGCAAAAAGGACCTTTTAAACCATAAAATTACAAGTACAAACCCTTTATATGCAAAAAAAAGTTACGAGGGACCATTTAAACCAATATACTAAAGTTTGTACATCCATTCCCTTGATCACTTATCATTATGATTTCCGACGTCCACGATTGGTTCCTTGTTTTTTATTTCACAAGATTACAAATAAACTAAGAAACTAACAAAAATTTCAAAAATTATAGGATAAATGAAAACAAATTCTAATAAAGTTATAACATTTATTGACTTATTATAATATTAACGAGTTTTACTTACATATAAAAAATTATATTTAGGAACCCATTTTTATTTTTCGCACAAAGCCTTCAAAATCAACAAGAAGCTGATGTACACATCACTTTCATCATACCCCACATCCACAATTTAATGTGCCTTAATCTCTATAACGTTTCCTTGAAAAGTCATGTATTCGTACCCCCAAGGTCAAGTTGTTTCACAACCTCTCACCTTCAAACATCTTTTCTCTCACCTTTAAACATCTTTCACCTCGATTCAGTTTTCCTACTTAACCTTTTCCATCTTGAAATATAGCCAATTCTTAGTTTAATGAAATATTAATCTTGTTCTCAATCTTTCTATACATTATTAAAATTTATTATAAAAAAACATCATAAATGGTCTTTGTGCTTTTCTTAAATATGAAGTTTAGTCCCTAAGTTTAAAAAATTTCACAGATGGTCCCTATGCTTTCAAAACTTTTGATGTTTGGTCATTATTGCTCACTCGGTTAAGTTTTGTCTGTTAACGAAAGGATATTTTCGTCATTTCACTACCACTGGAACCATTTATGAAGCTTTTTCTTAGTTAAAAAAAGAAAAATGAAATAAAATGCAATTATTTAACATAAAAGGGTCCTCCCTCCCCCCCTCTCTCTCTCTCTCTCTCTCTCTCTCTCTCTCTCCTTTAACTTCTTCATCATCACCCACACTCCACCATTAAAAGAAAGTGAGCACCAAGAACTGAACTGAAAAAAATTAATCTGATTTTCCATCTTTAACATCATCATGCTTTTGGATTTTCCCTTAAAATCAGTCAAGAACATCTTTATCTTCATAATGATTAGGAACCAAAAGTGAGTAGTCTGAATCATTGGTTCATGAGATTATCGAGAACACCTGTAACTCAAACACAAGTTTAAACACATATGTTTTGGAAATCGATTTTGTGTTATGGGTTTGTTGAGTTTGCTGGTAAGAACCACCATTGGAATCTCCCCTTTCCTTCTTTTTTTGTAGCTACCATCACCAGAACCATCCTCATCTCTCCATTTCTATCTTCTTGTTCATCTTCATCTTCTCCAATCATCCCTCCAAAAAACCCCAATCCATTTTCTCCCATTCCATTCGTAGATGCAATAGATTCTTTGATGTGATAAAACGTAAGAAACCGAGTTTCAAAATAGAGTGAGAGAGCATACATCGTAAGCTTCATTGATTTGGTGAAATTGGAATCTAAAATTGATTCCTCTGCACACGTCTAGATGATACTGAAATTTGATAGAAAAGGAAAAGAGTGTGATTAATCGTCCTCAAACACATAAACCGAACTAGGGATTAGATTTAAAACCAGAAAACTAGACCGAAACTTGAATCGTTAGAACCAGAATATATAGAATCAGTTTGGGTTTCGGGTTTAAAATTTGGCTTTTTCCGAGTTCCGGGTAATCCACGTTGGGTCCATCAGGTCTGGGTAAACAAGGTCTAAAAATCGAAACCGATGTTAGGAACCAGAACCACTTTTAGGGGCTGGAACCAGTTTCTATGAAACGTTTAAAGCATACATATTTCATTCATTTTAACTTGGATTGACATACGATTTTTTTTCCAACGTGTAGTTTAGATTTTGTACATGATTTTAGACTGCAAATTTGTCATTTTTAATTTTATATTCATTGATTTACAGGACCCCAAAGTTGAGATATCAAAGTTGGATGTTTTTTAGTTTTTTAGCTTTTTTGTATTCTGTGAAAGTTTCAAAACATGCATATCTAAGTTATTTGAAGTCGGATTGACATGCGGTTTTTTCCAACTTCTAGTTTAGAGTTTGTACATGATTTTAGATCATAATTTTGTTATTTTTGGTTTAATATTCAATGACTTACAGTCCCCCAAAGTCGGGATATCAAAGCTGAAAATTTTCAACTTTTCAGCTACTTATTTTTGTATTTTGTATTTTGTGAAAACGTTAACACATACATATCTCATTTGCTTAAAGTCGGATTGACATGCGGTTTTTTCCGAAGTGTAGTTTAGAGTCTGTACGTGATTTTAGACTATAATTTTATCAATTTTTGTTTTATATTCAATGACTTACATTCTCTCAAAGTTCAACCCACTAAGTAGTAAGTAATTGCCAAAAAAATTTGGTTTTTCGAGTTTTCCAGTTCTAAACCCATTTTATCCAGTTCCAACCTACTCACTTTGATGTTTCCGGGTTTTCCGGTTCTAGATCCACTTTACCGGTACCGTGCCCGGAACCGGTTCCTATATACTGGTCTGGTTTCCGGTTCTACAAAGTTCCGTTAACTGGTTCTGAGTTTTCCGGGTCCGGGTCCATCCGGTCCGGGTTTGGACCTACTTTCATCCCTAGGTACAACTATGGATAAATCTATGGAACTGATGCTTTTCTTTGCTATACCCCTTTAGAAGGGTTGAATAAGACCATATCTCTACTAACTTCTTCACTCTGAAAAAAGGTTGATGGTGGTTGGGGTTTCCATTTTAATCGTTATTTTTTTTTAATCTTTGGGGTAGGTCCATTGATTTCAGGGTTGTCGTTTGAGAATGAAGATGATGAAAGGATTAAAGAGAGAGGTTGAGAATGAAAATGGCTAAGGGATGAGATATATATATATATATATATATATATATATATATATATATATATATATATAGAGAGAGAGAGAGAGAGAGAGAGAGGGAGGGAGGGAGAGAGAGAGAGAGAGAGAGAGATTTTAAATAAGACAAAGCTTCATAAATGGTCTCTGTGGTAGTGAAATAACAAAAATACCATTCAGTTAATGAACATAACTTATCGTGCTGAGTAATAAATACCAACCATCAAAAGTTTTGAAAACAGAAGGACCATCTGTGAAATTTTTTAAACTGAGGGAATAAACTTCAGATTAAAAAAAAACACATAGACCATTTAAGGTTCTAAATAACATAAAGTGTGACTTGGTGGTAATATCAATCTTCAAGCTTTTATGAGCCTTAGCGAACCACTTCGTTTGTAAGACGTGACATAAGACGATATTTTTATATATAATTAATATTTTTTTATATTTATTTTCAACTATTATTCATTTTTATACACATATACGAGTTACGACGAAATTTTGGTAAAGTTTGGCGGCAGGTACAAGCTTTGGAGCCATGGTGCGCCATCGTGGAGTCATGACGAACTTTTTAGAACTTTGCCATTTATACATGCTAAAACCCAACAATTTATAATTTACTTCGAAATATTGTGTCATAGTATTTAAACTACTGAATATTATATAGTTAAATAATTATATAAATAATATTTCACAATTTTGTTAGACAGTCAAAATTTGCTAACACTCGATATCATAATATAAACAAATAATTAATTCTATATTGCTATATATATTATATGGAAGATGTTTGGATATATGGCATTATCTACTACGATAAAATTATGTTTATATATTTGTATTCATATATTTTTATGCTGAATATTTTTACTAACTTGGACTCCAGCAAATATATGGATATTTGAATATAAATATTGTGAATATATATGGATATTTTTATTGGATTCGGACCCGACCAAATATATGGATGTTTGAATATATGACATTAACAACAACGTCACATATTTATCTTCTTCGGATTTTTTTTGGCGAAATACTACTTTAAAAAAAATAAATAAATAAAAAAAAAATAAAGGTTTTAAATTAACTTTCATTTTTTGGACACAAAAGATGTTTAAATAAAATTTGAATATAAATGAATATCTCTGTAATTATTACAAGATTTCGTAAATTCATTTACGAACCTCCACCGCTACGGCTACATTGGGAAACATATATATCTCCGCTGCTGCTGAATTGAGCCCTAGAGAAACCTCATTTTCTCCCCTTTTCCCCCGATTACTCTCCGGTAACCTTACTCCGATCATCGTCCAATTCTTCAAGATGAAAGCTAGCGCACTACAGGTTTCTTCTTCCCACCTTCTTGTCTCAAATTCATCAATCTGGCTTTTTATGTACTTCTTTCTTTCCTTTATGTAATTTTGAGGATCGTTGATGTGAAACGTATTTCTTATGTGCTTGCAAGTTGACGTGAACGTGTATATCAATTGGATCGTAATTTAGTGTATGTAATTTCATTTCGTATATAGCTAATCAGTATATGTCACGGGCCTTTTGCTGGCTGATAGATGAGTTAAGATGCATGTTAGTTCTTATATATGGCCAATTGATTTCATACTTTTGATATGTATAACTGCTAGATTACAACCGTTGGCCTCCATTTTAGAATTTATGTTAACTATAAGAGGTGTGCACATTTGTGCGCGTGCATGAAGATCTGTACCTTCTTTTCAATTCATTTTCAGAGGAGGTAGATTTCTCTTTTTGGTCCTTCCAGTTCCTGGAAAAGGAATGTTTAATCACCAATTACCATTTTTTTTAAACAGCAGTCTGCGATGATGCTCTTAGCAAGAGGTTTAGAGGAGTTAAAAAAAATAGTTACAGATACATGATCTAATAGCAGTTTTAATTAGGATTTTTTTTAATCCACTCAGTCCACCATATTCTACTCCCTCTACATCGGTTCCATACCCACTTGTAAGAATGCAGTATAAAAGAGTCGAAAAGGACAACTTTGAACACCATCACATTTTTAAATGACCATAGTGTCCAAAAAGTACAGATTATCTCCATATACAGTAGCTTATCCGCTTTCTTATTTGTCAAATTACCAAATTATCACACTTTTTTCAGACAAATATAGTTTGATATTTTTGGAAGATAGGGATATAGGAGGAAGGAATACAAAAAGATTTTATGCTAACATTGCTTTTGGAGATGAATGTTCAAACTGTATAGTTGATTTAACCAATTTAGGGTTTAGGCATGGAAGACATGCTGGGTTACCTGAATCTGTCAAGGTCAAGTGTCTAAATTAGGGAAACAATCTTTTTTAGAAACATGCAAGGGAATTGTAGCTCCCGGAAGTCGAGATATATCTTTACAACAAAAATTTCATTTCAATTCTACTTCTCCCCTCTCGACTCGAACCAAGACTTCTTGTATTTATAGTGATTTACATATCTACCCCCAATAATAGGGATGCCGCATCGTTATGGAATAGATCTATGCATGATTTGGACTTTCATTGTGTAGATCCATTTTTTGTTTTGCATTTTTACCTAAATTTCATCGGGTCCTAGGTGATTACTCCATATCACTATTTCCAGCGATTTAATCTATTTTTGTAGTCCCGTATTTAGTGATTCACTACTGGACTTCTATATCGAGAATCACGAAAATCAACAACAATGCTATCTAAAGAATGATAGAAAGGAAAAATATTGATTTAGAAATTTTTCTATATTACAAAGAACTAATTAAAAAGATAAGCGAGTGGTTATAGACTTCTAATTTTGGAATACAAAGGACTTATCTAAAAAGATAATATTTATGTCTCAACTCTCAAGGTAGAACCTTGTAAAGATAAAAAAGCTTAAGGAAACAGTCTGTAATTAACCTGAAATAATTCCTAATTTAACAAATTAATTAAATATTTTACACTCGCCTCAAGTTGGGTATGTGGATCAGACATATCCAGCTTGCTTTGCATAGTGTACGTGTTAAGTTGTGGAGACTGATTCATCTCTTTGACCCTATATCAGATTTCGTCATGGACTCACGGGCAAGATTTGTAAACTTTGGGCTTGGTTTTATTGACAGTTTTAGGTCAAACAACTAATATTTATATTCTTTGAATTCGTGTAGCCTAATGTATTAGAAATCCACTCATCACAAATCAATAAAAACTCTCTCATGTGTTCGTGCCTGTGGATGTAGCTGAAGATCCTGATCGTGTGAACCACATAAATGACTGTCTTATTTTTCGTTTTGCATTATTACTTTGTTTTCTTGGAATCGTTGAATCGTTTGTTTAAGTGCTTAAACCCTAACCAATGTTGATCTTTATTCTTAGATTAACCGATATCTAACAGGTTTGTAACTCTGTTCATGATCTATTTTCTTGCTAGAGTTTTGTTTAATGCAATCACTGTTAAAAAAGTGTTGAACTTGATTATATTGATAAAGATTTTGCGAGTTTAATCGGTTGGGATAAAGGACAATTCCACAGAGATTTTTTAGTTATTGCCAATAACAAGTAGTGCGATACAGTAACTTAACAAAGATTGGTTCTTTCCTTCTTGAATCAATTTAGTGGGGTGATGAATTTATTTATTTGCCTCTTTGGCACAAAATAAGGCATTCCTTTGGAATCGCCAGAATCTATTACAATTTACAACAGTGAATACTAGTAATTCGGATAAGTTATGAATAACAAGGAATCTTAACTTCATTTTTGTTTTTACTAGAAAAATACAAACTAAAATAAATTATCTACCATTTGATTATTAGTTATTTTGGAGTTAAAGATACTCATCGATTGAAGTAGACATTTTCTAGTTATATTTCTTTTTCCTTGTATTTCTGCTTTCAAAAAAGGTAATGTATTATTGTGAAACAGGAGTCAATGGAGAGAGCAATGAGGAAAAAATTCAGGGAAGAGTCTGAAGATGGATGGAAGATCAGGGAAAAGAAGGTGGACTACTCTTCCTTTCTTACAGATGACATTCTTTTTGATATCCTGAGAAGGCTTCCTACTGTTATCCTTCGTTATAAGACTAAGTTTGTCTGCAGAAGATGGTTCAATATAATAACTAACAAAATCTTGATAGAACATGCTTCTTTCATCGTCCAGAGGTCAAGTGGACCTCACACAGCAATTCAGGTGGTTATAAGGTAAGAAAAACAAGGGCTGGAATTGGAACAACAACATCTTAACATACCTTACAAAGGCCGGATAAAGTCTTGGTGTAACGAGTTCCTTTTAATAGTGGACCCCAATAGAAACAAATCTTTGTATGTTTTCAATCTAATGACTAAGAAAGGATTATATCTTCCTTGGTGTGGAACATCTTGTCGGAGGACACTATACAATCAAATGTGGAGTGGCCCTTGCCTTCGATGGATTCAAGGGAGTCTACAAGGCCATTCACATATTTATGGGCCCACCAATCCAGTGCAAGATTATTGAATTGAATAGAGATATTACCTCTGGTGTTTCCTCGATGTGGATTAAGACTGAAGGGCCTTCTTATGATATGGGTGAAGGGCAATATTATTGGGGTAACCCGGTTTCAGTTCAGGGCAGGTACTTTCATTGGGATGTTCATTCCTCTAAGTACCTGGTTTCTGTGAACATGGTGAAAGATAAAATTTTGCAAATCCCCCTACCAAAATGCAATGATGATTGAGTGGGAAGACAATATTCTCTTGTTGATATCACTACTAGAAACTTGAGTTTCAGCTACTGATTTAGCGATGGATAAATTCTGTAGCAAAGTTTTAGGCTTATAGCTAGGGATTTACAACAGATCCGCCATATTTTAGATATTTACTTTATTTATTCAACATATTTCATATTTGCTAGGATTTATCGAAGGATCAACTACGGATCTTGCAAGTGTTTATCGATGCACACCACTCCCTTGCTAGTCGGTCGAAAATCAAGGCATTTCAGCGAGGGTTCAACGACAGATAGAGAAATTATCGAATTTTTTCCATCTATGGTACACGTTTAGCGAGAGATCGCCGACAAAAAATAGATTTGGGGTACGCACGTTTCTGTTTTACGATCGCCAATCTCTCGCTGAAATTAGCGCAAACCAATTCCAATTTCACGAAATTGTTGTAAGTTTTCTTCCCTCCTAAATCCGCTTTTATCACTCTGGAGTAAGTTCCTATGCCATGTTAACCTAATAATATCACCATCTCCGTTCTAACAGATGATGAAACAACTCACCACTGTTGCTTTCAATTCCGACAACCTCCATAAAATCTAAAAGTAGTTTTCATTAACTTCTGATTTAGGTAAATCGCTTGATTTTCTTTTTTTAGTCCTATATTGGATTTAGGTTTAGTTTAGTTGCACAATATATTACGTTAGGGTTTAATTTCCCCCTTTTTTCTGTTTCAATTTTCATCCCTATTATACCTCAGCATTACATGCACGATCACCTTGAATCGATTGCATCATGTAATTAAAATCTTGATTCCTTGAATCTCATCTTCTAACTTGATATTTTCATTCATCTCTTGAATGTTGTCTCCAATTCAGTAGTTTATGTAGTCAAATGTAGCTTTGACTATGTTTGTCTCCAATTCAACAGGTTCTGTAGTCAAATGTAGCTTTGTTTGGTGTTTCTGAGCTTCCCTCCACTTGTTTTCAAGTTTCTCTTCCGATTTTTATTTCCTCACCATCAAGCTTTAAAGGTACATCTTCATTAGATAGAGACACATAATAATACCTTATATGATAAGCAGGATGATAGAGATTCAATCAAGCAATCCTCCCATTCATTGTTTGTCGTGCATGCATCTCCAAAGACATGGATTTCATCGTATCATATCCAAAAAAAGTTTCCAGGTTCTTCTCACAGACTTATCATTCATTCATTCATAAAATTTGGTTTTCAATCTCATAAAATGCAATTACTTTTCCTTCTTGTCATATAGTCATTATCTCAATAAATGATGATAAGAAGCACTCTTTCTATAAATATTAATATGTTTTCATTGATCTGATGTATGCTCTTTAGTTACATATTCCATAATAAACTAAATAGGAATGTAAGTTTCCATGAGCTCTGAATTAGTATCTCTAACTTAGATTTTTGTACCCTTTTGAACTAATATTCAACAACTCCTCTGAATCATTATGTATTGTTATGGTTACATCATTGAAATCTTAAATTTTTTAGGTATAATGTGTGTTTATGGTTGTCCATTTCTAGATATGTATGCATATGATTTTGGATATGTTTTAGTTATTTAGGAAGTTTCTCATTGCGAATTTATGTGGGTTTATGCTCTTTGTTTTGGTGATTAATTTCAGGATTTGATGAGAAACGATCCATTGACAAATGGTAAGCAGAATGATCTTGAGCTTGGAGATGTAGTGACGGTAATTTAGTGTTTCTTTCTACTTCCAATTTACACTCCCCAACTGTTTGACATAATGCCTAAGTGAAAGTCATGTTAACTTTGTCTATGCAATTCCAAACAGGCTGCAAATGTGAGTTTTTTCAAACTTCTCTCTCTGGTAAGTGTATGTTACTTCATCATTTTGTTACTTTCAAATGCTGAATTATATTTTTTGTGAAGATATTAAGTTGTCTATGAAATTCCAAACAGGCTGCAAATGTGAGTTTTCTCAAACTTCTCTCTCTGGTAAGTGTATGTTATTTCATCATTTGTTACTTTCAAATGCTGAATTATTTTTTTGTGAAGATATTAAGTTGATTATTAATCACTTAACAGGCAAAACCAAAGGCGGGAAGATTTGATCAGTGGTACTATCGCTTTGTTGATTGCATCCACATCAAGTATCCTGATTGTATGTCTACATCTTCTCATCTCCCTCAACATAGTTTTGTTTTTCAAGAAAAATAATTTTGTTTTTATTACATTTCAACCAAGATTTGGTGGGACATAATCGATAGTGTTTTAGGAGATCTCCAAACATCAGAACAAAATAGTGAAGCAGTTAGCTTAGTCAATAGAAGCATACTAGGAATCATTCTTATTGTTAACTTAATTTTGACTCATTTGATCGATTCCTGTTTTCAGTTTAGTCTGCACATGTCAAGCATGGTTATTTTCTTCAGCAAGTGAAAGAATTGTTGATGCCTTGAGAAAGAATCTTTTCACCCATCTTGTTAATCAAGTAAAAATCACTTTTTTTTTTTTTTTCAAAAAAGGAAATATATTTTATGCCCCTTTTGTCAAGACTCAAGATTCACTTACCCTTTTGCAGGAAATAGCTTTCTTTGATGTTACAAAAACAGAGGAGGTAACATGTAAGACCAACATTATCTTAAAAAAATAAACTTGCTGCAACTTAAATGTTTCTGAAATTTTAAGGAATCTTTCTACTGCATTTGTTGGTATTGGGTTCATATACCACATCGTGGAAGCTAACATGTAAGACCAACATTACCTTAAAAAAAAAGAAAGTTAAAATTTTTTTTAACATAAAAACTTATTCATCTTTTTCTTGTTATTAGTATTGGCTAACATGTACGCCAAGTTGGACGTTAGCTTCTTGAAGTAACCCACAAAGCTCAAGCTACTGCATCGGTTGCTTCCTCAATTACTGAGGTGTGTATTGACCACTAAAACTCATATATTTATTTTTATAATACTAAAGTAATTGCTATCGCATCCAACATTCTTTTCTAACCAAAGTTTTTATGATTATGACAAGATCCCAAAAAGAAAAAAATTTACAATTTTACTTTTATTTTTTTATAAATTTGCAGAAATCTTTTGGTGTTCTACGCACCGTAAGATCTTTTGAATGTTTGTTAACTTTGATATTTGATGTTTTTGGTAAACTTTGATATATATGTTTTTGGATGTTTTTGATAGTTTTATATTGTAATGTTAATGTTTAGTTTTGGTTGTATGGCTATTTGATGGTTTTTTTTTTTTTTTTTTTTTTTTTTTTTTTTTTTTTTTTTTTGTATAATAATTTGATTATTTGATTATTTTTGTTTTAGATTCATAATAAAAAAATGATATTATATGTTTGTGACAGATTAGCAATGGAGAAAAAAATATTAATATATGAATTTTGCTAGGGATTAGCGACAGAAAAAAGAAAAATCATGTCTAAAGTTTGCAAGGGATCAGCCACTGAAAATGAAAAAACATGACTGAAAATTTTCGACGCCTTCAGCGATGGAATATGAAGATTTGCGACAGAACAGCAACGGAATGTTGTTATACAATTTTGTCGCCGATGTCCTGACGAATTGTATTGAGTGACCATTTAGCGATGGATATTATGTCGTTAATTTTGTCGCAAGGAGGATCTGAGCCGTCGCTAAAACCCTTGCTAACTCATTAGCCACCTTTTAATTACCTATGGAGTGCATCTGTCGCTAATCCATCGCAAACAACAATTAGCTACAGAATTGCGACAGATTTGTCCGTCTCTAAAACCCATGTTTCTAGTAGTGTATGGGTGGTTTCCTTGCTCTCCTTGATAACGATTCTTGGAATCATGCTGACTTATGGATTCTTAAAGATTTCCAGAGGATGAAGTGGGAGAAGTTGCACTCAATACGTGTCTCGAGCTATGTGAACAAAAGAATATATCCTCCTATAGTTTTTAATTCATATCCTGTTTGTAGCGTTAAGAGATATCTCATCTTCAGGAAATCTAGATCCAACCCTGGTTTGTTTAGTTATGATCTGACAAATCAAGACTTAAAAAAGCTCAACATCCTTTGTTTAAATCGTGAACATTGCGTGGTTCATTCAGCAGCACCAAGTTTTCTGTAAGCCAGGCTTACATGCAGAATATAATATAAACAATAAGTGGAAAATTTAACAGCATAACAGAGGATCGGATGTGTTGTTTTCGATATAGTGTAGGATAATGGAAGTTATGATTCCTTTTACTACCTTGGATCATGTACGACTGCAAATGATACTTGTACTCTGTGTTGTTTAACTGTCTTGTTTCATGTATAATGAGATAAACATCTCTAGGGATTTTTCCTAAATTGGTTTGAGTGTTGACGCATGCATAATGTGATAAAACATCTTTTAGGGTTTTTTTTGTTACATTGGTTTAACTAGATGGGCCTGGTTTCCTTTTTCAAGGTTCATAATCCTCGCCCCCCATATAGTTAGGAGCCATGACATACTTGTTTCTTTATACTGCTTCCTTCAAATCCGTTGTAAAATTACATATTAGACTTTTTAAATGTCACATGAATTAAATTTTTGTGCCTTAATTAAATCTTTGATTTCCGCCGAACTGCCACCATCTTGGCACCATTGCCGCTTGCGGCAGCCATAGCTGCTGGATTCCTCCACCTACACCACTACTTCATTGGTGGCTGAGTTGTTCCCCTTAATTATCCAGCCCTTATACCTATGGATTAAGTGCTTAATGGGTTAGGATGGAAAGCCTAGCCCTAATCTCCTTTTAGTTATGATTTATGTGAAGATTTCTCGTCATCGTTCCATTTTTCAAGCCTTGTTCTTAATCCATTAAGAAGCTCTTAAATAAACATTTGAATACCGATGTTTATGTCACACACCCGGTCGACGCGCCAAGGGCTAACCTTCGTTACCAATCTCAAAACATAAAATTTATCTTTCATTAATAATATCAATTACATCGACTAAACTAAAACCTATCTATCTTCGTGCAACTTGCTCTTCCTTGTGCCAAACTTCC